TATCCTCAGACTGGGATTTACACCACTAGTCCCCTGGTTCTCAGGCTTTTTGACTCAGATTGAATTACACCACCAGCCTTCCTGGGTCTCTTGTTTACAGACAGCATATTGTGGTACTGCTCAGCCTCCATATCTTTGTGGGCCAATTTCCGACAACAAATCTCTCGATATACGTACACATAAATGCATAGATGCAGTTTGTTCTGTTTCTCTGAAAAACCATAACCTAACCAGTAATGACGAAATGAACAATTTCAAAGCACCAATTATGGATAAGTACTGTTGCTAGGATTTGCTGTTTGCTCTGCTCATTCAGCCATTTACTCAGTAACTATCTGAATGCCTAGTGTATGCCATGAAGTGTGCTAAGCTAAGCTCGGGGACAAAAAGTCAATAAGATCTGACCCTGCCAGAGACTGAAAGTAATCTGCACAAAAATTCCATAAGGATTGTTATTGCTCTCACTTCCTGGAAAAGGAATAGAGGCTCAGAGCAATTCTGGGGCTTATCTAAGGTTACACAGATAGAACATGGCAAACCCGGATCTGAATCTATGTGTCATGCTCTTTCTTTACTATACTGCTGCTTTCTATTAACCCCAAATTCTAGAACAAATTATTTTAGCAGATGGCCATATCACACTTTTAAAAGAAGGTGGTAATCTTAGGTGCCAGTGCAAAGAAGTAGTCAAACAAAATGGCAAAGCTAAACCCATCACTCTCTCTTCTGGTCTGGCAAAGCTGTAGAAATTCTATGTATCTGAGTTTTGTTCATCACTGGTCTGAACAAAATGGGAATATGTGGCCAGGATGAGGGCACAGTTGGGTGAAACATCGTATGGTGAATAAGAGAGGCTGGAGTGTGTTATCAATAGATAGCTATAAAACTAGATGGTAGTAACATGTCACAGTGCTCTGTCTTTGGCCTGGTCCCATTCATATATTTGTTCACTCATTCACACACACACACACACACACACACACACACACACACACACACGCATTTATTGAATGGTGATAAAATATAAAGGCTCTATGCCAGATACAGGGAGTTTGTGGGGGAACCCAAAATGTGCCATGTAGATTTTTCTTCAGAAGGGCTTCTCATACTAGCTGTTGAGAGTGCTACTGTATGACAGCTTTCAACTGTTCACACTTCAGGCTCTGCCTCAGCTGCAGAGAGCGACCTGGCTCAAGGCTACGCCCCTTTCTACCCTTCCCATATCAAAGTACTGATGGATGTGAGAGTATGAAGGTTATTCATCTCAGCCAACTCAGGTCTTACCTGAAGGGTCATTCCACCTCTGGAGCTAATCATGTGCTCAGCTCAGCTTAACTTCTCCTTACGCCCATAAGTCTTATAAACAAGTTCACTCCTTAATAAACATCCTGCACATTAAATTTAAACTTGGGAGTTGGAATCAGTATGTTTCATGGAAAGCCCATTGATAAAATAAGGTGCTTTGTACTTTGCTTATCCTCTAACGAGCACAACCACAACCAAAGACAAAAAGTTACATGGAGACAGCATTTTGGACTTAATAATTGTTAGTTTTTAAAACATAATTTTCTCTCAAGAGTGAAACAGCCGAAACTGGTTTGGCTCAGTGGTAGAGCATCGGTCTGCGGACTGAAAGGTCCCTGGTTCGATTCTGGTCAAGGGCATTTACCCTGATTGCGGGCACATCCCCAGTAGGGGGTGTGCAAGAGGCAACTGGTCGATGTTTCTCTCTATCTCTCTCCCTTCCTCTCTGTAAAAAATCAATAAGCCTGCCTCAAAAAAACACTAAACTCTGGAGGACAGAGGGAATACTATTACTCTTGGAAGAGTCTATATCAACCAAAACATTGGTATTTTAATTAAATTTGTTTTTGTTCATCCTGCTGCTGGCTATCATATAGCGCCCAGCACTGGTATTTAAATATTAGTGATTAGAAATTTATAAAAGAAAACTTCCTAGATTCTGGGAATAATATGAAGGTAAATAGGAAAGTAATTCCATTTCCTCAAGAATTTCAAAAGCAATATGAAGTTATTTAACACATAATGGCAGAAACTGTCATTGTCTACACCAGTATCCAATATCTAAAAGCTCACTTGTCTTTTAAAAATTTGTCAATTTTAGCTTGTTACATGGCTATCTAGCCAAAGACTACATTTCCCAGACTCCCTTCCAGCTAATGTGGCCATGTGACTAAAATATGTACAATGAGATCTAAGTGGTTGTGATGGGTGCAACTTCTGGTTGAAGGCTTAAAGGAAACCACTTGCCTTTTATTTTCTATTTCCTCCATCCCAAGGTTGGAACATGGAGGTGACTGATGGTGGTAAGGCAGCTGCACCCTAGAAAAGTGGAGCAATAATACAAAAAGTCCCTGGGTTCTTGAATGATTCCTGGAGTAGGACTTTATTACCTATCTGGACTATCTGCCAACTTTGATTTTTATATGGGAGAGAAATAAATCAAATATGTTGTTTAAGTTATTACCATTTTGGTCTCTGTTAAAACAATTCTACCAATATTCTAACTTATACAGAAGCCAAATCAACAACTAAAACCTGGGTGATGTTCAGTCTTTGCCCTAGCAGCATGCTATTTTACCAGGAAACTGCAACACAAGAATAGAAATTAACTTTCTTTATCTATGAGTTTATCTTAAAATTCCTCAAAAGAAATAGAAATCAGAAATCCAACATAAGCCATTGTTATGAATAGCTTACCATTAGAAAATTCTTCTATTTCTAATAGTGTAATGATGGATGCTTTTATAGCAAAAGAACCATAGACTAAATTAAATATTCTGATGAATCATTAACTAGGATAGGTTTTCTTTTTATCATTAACTGGTATAGGTTCTCTTTTTACACCAGAATTAAGTGTAGATATATAAATATTCTGATTGTTTTGGTGGAAACATTTCAAATTGTACAAATTAATTGCCATTTTTATCATGGTACTAAGTGAATTACAGAAGGTTACCTAACTGTTTTTGGAGATAATGTACTGGCCATGTGAAATATAGGTACATATGGATTATCTAGATGTGAATAAGGATTCTAAAGCCAAGAAAATGTTTCAGTTACAATGTCCCTTTATACTTACGTATATCCAGAAACATCTTTAACTTTTCCTAAGGCAGCAATAACAGCCCACTCTCCTATACTAAATATACAGATATTTGCAAATCATAGTAGAGGCAGAGCCAGGTTCTCACATTAGAGGGAACCTGCTGGGGGTGCAGGGATGGTGGTGGTAGGGGGACCTGGTAAAGGTCTTTTGACTTGTGATGTTGCTGCTATGCAGAATCAGTCTACCTCTGTGATTACTTTTTTTCAGTGTCTCCATTTATTTTCACACTGTTTTTCCTAACATCTTTTCATCAGAGTCCTAACCACATCCTGCCAATATATCACCTTTAAAATAGTGTTGGGAGAACTCAGAGGAAGCAGCCCCTCTTCTTGCTGAATCCTCAACAGCATTTCTGGTTGGAGAAATAACCAGCAGATGACTGGGGAATACATATTCTTCCTGGTAAAGGGCATTTCTTCTTTCATAGATTCAACTAGCTTTCAGCAAATATCTACCATGTGTCTGGCTATGCTAATAAGTTTTCTTTCATGTAAATTTGTTCACTTAATCCTGTGAACTTATCTTTTGCACTTATCTCAGGAAGCCTCCAAATACCCAGTAAGTTTATTACAACCCACAGAGAAGAGGAAATAAACAGGTTTCAGGAAATAAATTTTTATAACTAATAAAAAAAAAGAGATTCAGTAAGAAATGATTTGAAAGATGTCAACTGAAAAGTGAAAACATGTGCATTAAAAATGCTCCCATTACTAGAAATCACTAGTATTACAGACCAATATGTAAGTTAAAATCTGCATCTTCCATGCAAAAGGGAGAAAAAGCTAATATATTGTACTTCATGCCTCCTTTTTTTAACATATGAGTATATGATTAAAAATGATCTGAAACATCATTTGCTGTGGTTGATTACTATTAGTCATCATTTTAGCTGTCACTAACAGTAGTGAAAATGTACATTATAAGCACTAAGCACTGAAGAAGGTGTCATTAGAGATTTTATTCATCCCATGCAGGCATCTATCAAATGACAACTCCTTTGAAAAGGTTAGCTGAGATAACTTCCAGAAGCATCTCAAAAGTTGTTCAACATTTATTCATGGTCAGGGGAAATGCTGTAGGGAGATTACATCTTGCTGAAGAAGATGCCAAGAACATATTAGCTGCTAGTTTGAGAGCCTTCAGAGGCTCTTCACAGCTATTTTTAGAAAACAATTGTATCACTTACCAAACACCACAGAGAAAATACTGTAAATGTTGGAACTTAAGAATTCAACAACTAAAGATATTTAATAGATGGGAACTGGAGGAAGTATAAATTGTAGGGAAAAAATACCAATTAGAACAATACAAATAAGACATACTTGTATTTGATGTGTCTAAAAGATATGAGTACTGAAGACAATTTGTAATAAAGATTTTGAGATTTAAAATAATTTTAGACAGTATTAGACTAATATATTTTTGGAGCATAACAATAAGATGTTTTTAAAGAAAATTAATTTTCTTGGTTTCCTTCCCAGGGGTTTCAATGTGCTCTATCATAAAAATAGATAGTAAGATATGTTTTGAATAAATATCATTATTAGTAAGTATGTAAAATGTATATAGTTTTCAATTGCTGCAGAAGTAAGTTTGGATAATGTTTTTTTTTTCTCTTCTTTTGAAAAATGCTGCAAGAACATATTTAAAATGGAAATGTGGCCCTGTGCATTTTTACTATCTTGAAAAGCACAAGAAATGCAATATAAAATGAGCACAACTTTCAAAAGCCAGAATGAGCTGTTTAAGGTTTCAGAGTTCATAAAATGGTGACCATAGGCATTAAGAAGTTTCTGCTCTACTCAATGCTCATGGGCAGAACACAGCTCTCTGTCCAACCTCACCCAAGTTTGACATAAAAACCACTCACCACTGGTGATGGGGAAAGTGCAATGTTGCCTATTGATGCCTTCAGTTCATCTACGGTTGCAGCATTCTTAAGAATGTCTTTAGATTGCAATGGCTTAATCTTAATATTAAATTTCTTATGTGATTCTTCTTCCTCTTCTGATTCACTTGAAGAATAAAAGTGCTTTCCTTTGGTAGGTAGGACACAGTTAAAGATACATAACTCTTTACTGGGAGGCAATGATGAGTATAAGACAAGAGTGACTGCACATAATGGTGGCAAAAGTATCCTTAAGATGATAGAACATCGAAGCAAAACAATCAAATAAAAGAATAAATCAGGCTCTGGCTGGTTTTGCTCAGTGGATAGAGTGTCTCCCTAAAAACTGAAGGGTCCCGGGTTTGAAGGGTTGCGTGCTCCTGATTATCACTGAGGGCGCATGTAGGAGGCAACCAATCGATGTCTCTCTCACATTGATGTTTCTCTCTCTCTCTCTCTCTCCCTCCTTTCCACTCTTTCTGAAAATCAATGGAAAAATGTCCTCATATGAGGATTAACAAAAATAAATAAATAAAAATAAAAAGAGTAAATCAGGAAAGCGTTAGAATCTATTCATCTTTCCTTGGAACAAGATTAAAAATGATGAAATTTCAAAGAGCAATAGTTATAATGTTCTATATTTTTGCTGCAGTTGGCCATTTGGTGTGCCACTCTCAGTACACACACTGCTGAACCTTCAACGGAGAGAGGAAATCATTTTAATGGACAATTTGTGATGTTTTAAGTGTTTCAGAGTGTGACCTGTTCTGACCAGAGGTGATTTGTGGGAAAAGCACAAGTAACAGATATTTGCCAGTCATGATAAATGACATTGTCAAAACATTGTCAGCAGACAACCCAGTATCCATAATGTGCACAACTGTTTCTCAGCACATTTCTCTCTTCCTCCTGTCTCTCTTCTATGAATAGACTGAGGCAAAATGCCTACTTGTTAGTGATCAGGATGTTCTCTGTGCTGTTTATTCATCTCTAATATTGTGGACAACAGGGCTTGGGAAGCTGGTGTTATTTCAACACCTTTTCAAAACCTGAATTTATAATACTGCTTTATGAGACAAAAAAAATAAATAAATAAAATAAAAAATAAAGGATATAGCCAGGTTCCTCGGGTCTGATGCTGTAGCCTTCTTCATCCAGCTCGGGTGAGTTCTATAAAATACAAGTGAACATGATGCAATTACTATCCTGACAATAATCAAGAAATTATTCATTTTCCTTCTAAAGCATTCTATTTAAGGATATAAACATGTCTCTTATTTTTGGAGGTCAGGATTTTAACTTTTGAAAGTGAATGCTGGGTAATATATATATAGATAGATATTTACTCAAGGAAAAGTGGGGAGTCTTTCTATTGGGAAAACAAACTAGGAGTCAACAACTGTCAATTGAAAAGAAACATTCAGAAAGGATTTACCATGAATTGTCTGTAAGCCAAGGACTTTGTTAAGCAACATGAAGGGATATAAAATGAAAATTATTTGTTCTTTGGAAAATTGAAATGTATTTGGTAGGCAGAAAATAAAAATAAATATACAAAATACAAAACATAAGACATCAGTGATAGGAGTTTGAAAGAAGAGGAAATTAGTGAGGTTTGAAGGAAGAGGAAATTAGTGAGAAAAGATAATTTGCATGTGCCTTTTGGGATAGAAGGGATCTGCATGTGCCTTTTGGGATAAAAGGGGGTATAGAAGGAACTCACTGGTGAGGAAGAGTCTGTATTGAGACCTCCAAGGCAGAAATAGACAACCTTATTCAGATGACATGACTGGAAAGGAAGCTGTACAGTGAGAGGCAATAGGAAATAGGACCATGAGTGGCCAACATGCTGCGGGAAGAGTTCATATTTGAAATAGTTTCTGTAGCTTCTCATTTAGGGGAGGGCATGCTGGAAACAGCATCTTAAGGTATTTCGGAAGCACAGTTCAGGATAGACTTGGCACAGAAGGAAATTGAGGGGGGGAAAACACACTAATTCAAAATACTTGCATCATGCCCATAAGTTGTGTGGATAATATAGACAAAGTTGGGGTGGTGGGAAGGGATGAATCAAGGACATTTGGAAGGACAAACTGCTAGTCTTACTAACAGATTTATCAGAGGAGAAAAAGGAGAGGGGAGGTTCAGGAAAACTCCAGGATTTTTATCCTGGTAATCCTGGCTGAACTAATTGTAACAGCAGACAACTATTATTTTTAGGAAAAAGACAGGAAAGATAAAAGACAGTCTGCATAATTAGAATTAGTTATCATATTTTAGTTCCTATTATAAGGTAAGTATTATGACCTACACTTTATTTCATTGAACCTTCATAACAATCATATGTGGAATTATTCTATTTACCACGAAGGAAACTAAGAGAAATCAGATGCCATTACTCAAGGAACCCACACAGCAAATGGCAGAACCACTCCTTGATCCCAGGTATTTGAGACTATATCCTACGCTGTAGAGAGGAAGAAGGTAAAGAAAAGTTCAATAATGACCCTTTTGAAGTTGAGGTAATAGGCCTGGAAGTCAGGGAGATTTTGGAGTCACTGAAACAATTTACTAAGCTTACTTTCCTTTTTTTATTTCTTTTTAAATAAAAGAATATTAAGATCACTTACCTGCTAAAAATGTGTCTGTGGCTTCTCACTGCATTCAGAATAAAAGCCCATGTCCAGCTGTTGTGACTCAGTGGTTGAGCATTGACCCATGAACCAAGAAGTTACCAGCTCAATTCCCAGTCAGGCACATACCCAAGTTATGGACTCAATCTCCAGTAGGGGACTTGCAGGAGGCAGCCGATCAATGTTTATGCTTCTCTCTCATCATTGATGTTTCTATCTCTCTCCCTCTCCCTTCCTCTCTCTCTAATATCAATACAAGCATACATACATTTTTAAAAAGCACATTGCCTTGTAGCCCAAAAGCCCCAGCAGGACCTGGCTCGGAATCTTCTCTCTAGCCTCAGGTTTGAGATTCTTTTCTGATCCCCCTCAGCCACAAAGCCTTCCTCCTATTATATGGTAAGTACCATGATTCATTATTAACTTATGATTTGAATGCTGCAAGTTTTTTCCCCCCTTCATTTCAGGGACCTTATAAATTATCTGCCTGAAATTATCTTTTAAAAAAATATATTTTTATTGACTTCAAAAAGGAAGGGAGAGGGAGAGAGAAATAGAAACATAAATCATGAGAGGGAATCATTGATCGGCTGCCTCCTGCATGCCCCACACTGAGGATCAAGCCCAAAACCCAGGAACCATGACCTCCTGGTTCATAGGTCCATGCTCAACCACTGAGCCATGATGGCCAGGTTGCCTGGAATTATCTTTCCTCAAATGTTCATCCAGTTAGCCTCAATTTATACGTCAGTGTAGGAGTAGGACTTTTTTTCTGCCAAGGGCCATTGGTTATTTATTACATCATTTGAGGGCTATACAAAATTATCAACTTAAAAATTAGCCTGCTATATTTGGTCAAACATTTAATTAACTCACCCCTAATGCCTTGGCAGGGCCAGACCAAATCATTTGGTGGGCCTTAGAGGGCCTGCAGGCTGCATGTTCCCATCCCTGCTTGAGGGCTTCCCTTTATTAAAGGTCAAATCCTCCCTAAGGCTCTCTCTGCTCTTAACCTCTCCTTGCCAAAAGCAAGATGATATAATGTATTAAAAATAAAACCCTTCTCATTACTTAGAGAAAGTTGTATCTAATGTGTAATTATAATAGCAATTCCTGTGTGGTCTTATTAGTTTTTATGACTAACAACATTTGAAGCAAATTATGCTTCAATTAAGCACTTGCATATTGACCAGGGACAACACTGGAGATTAGGGTTTATGTGCTGGATGTGAGGGGATAGTGCTTGATGAGTAATTTGGTATTTTAATTATCATACTTGTTTATTTAGAGCACGTGTCAAACACAAGGCCCGCGGGCCAAATCCGTCCTGCCAGGCCTTGCAATGTGGCCCGCACCGCGCTGTCATCACTGCACTCCACTGCGTTTCCATCACAATGACAGTTTATGACTGTTCAGTAAACCATTCGGCCCTCGATTTAGGCTGGATTTTAGATTTTGGCCCCTTCTCTGATTGAGTTTGACACTCCTAATTTAGAGCATCACATTCATGCATATTTAAGAATCCTAGAAAATATACTAAGTCTTTCTAGGTAAAAAGAATTTTTCAAAATCACCCTTTCTTAATATCTCACATCTTCCCTTAAAACACTATTTTGAGCAAATAGTTTATTGAATCTTTGCAATAATGTTGTAAAGTAGATACTGACTTCATTTTTGCTGGACAGCAAATTGCTATCCCACAGCCACACACAGCTGACTCGTGGAGAGGCTAGTTAGGTCTTGAACCCATTATCTAAGCCTTTCCTGCTCTTAGCCTGTCTACCATGTTAATCGTGCTAGGTACTTTCTGATGAGGTGGCATGCTTCACTTATTTCTCTGTCATATTTTAAATACAAGAATGCCTCAACTCCTTTTCAGGTTCTGAAATACTTAGTAAAGAAAAAAACATTTTCTGATACTCACGTATCTTTCCCAATCAATTTCTGCATAAAATCCATTTGGCGCCCCATTGCTTTTCTTCTGTAATAAATGAGAAAATAAACTTAGAAGAGAAACATTTGAATGAAACAAAAAAAGGAATAAAGAATACTTACTCTCATCTTTATTTAACAAGAGCTATCAATACCCAGGACTGGAAAGACAAATCAGAGCAGCCTATGAAGCAGCCACATTAGCATAACCAAATGGTAAACTGAGTTGCCGTGACACTGCCTAATAGAGCTTCCATACTTATTGTACAAGACTGTAGAATACCTAACCATAGAATATTCACTACTAACTGTTCAAATTTTATTCAATTACTAAAAAATTAGAATCATCTACATTATAATTTAATTCTCTATAACTTCAGGGGATAAAAACAGATATATGTATTTAAATGGAAACATTTTGACTTCCATGTTTCTTTCATATACAATCAGTTCCAATCATATCCAAAGAGTATTCCTCCAAGTCGTTAACTAATTTTTTAGCTTTTCTAATACTAACTTATTTTTTTCCTAACCATCCCCTTGATAGACTATAAAGGAAATCAACTTCAAATTAGTTAATTCAGCTCTTATGTATTAAAAATGGTGTTGATATTCTTTACAAGTGGCTTTTTAAAAAAATATTAAAATGGAATAATAGGATTCATCATGGATTTTTCTGTCATCCATGTGTCCTATGCCTCCAGGAACACACATCATTGCAAGATGAATGGAGATCAGTGTTACTCTCTCTAGATTATTTGTAAGTTCTATTTTGACTGTTAGTACAACCATGATATATGGCTACCAGCACTTGAGCAAGGATGTGGCCTTATCCAAAGAGAAATTACTAGGATTCCCTACTTTTTATGAGAAGACAAAAACACAAATCAAACTGGGGAAGGAGGGTTCAATTCAACAGCACTCAGGTATTTAGCACATAGAGCAATGGTCTATCACTGGGCACAAGCAGATCTCAGAACAACACAAATTAAACGGTGACATGTGAGGCTTGAAGACAGAACCTCTAATTTTGCAATCACAAATGAAGGCGAGTTGGACCACAATATGAACAGTTAACCCTCAATTTGACAAACAGGCGGGAGAAGTAAGCTTTTCATGTTTGCATGTTTGCATGTAGGACCACTAGAAAACCAAATTAGAGGTAACCATCATTATTGATTAATACTTACTGAATGTTGCCTGGGCACTCTAAGAACCCACAATAGCTTAGTAAGGGTGAACATGAGTAAGGAATAGATAATATGTCCAAGTCCTCTCTCTTCCTTAGGTACTGCACTGCACTAGAATTTACAAATGCAAGAACTATGCCAATGTTTTCACTGACCAGAACCCAAGAACATAGGCCCTGTGCCCCTCTTCCTTTTTTCTGCTCCTAAAAAATATATTCTTGACTACATCATTTCAACTTTTTCACAAAACTGCCTTCATTGAATAAGTGATATCCTTTCTACTTTGAGCAAAAGTTGTTGTAAAAACCTGTCACATCAACTCTGCACCTGTATAAGCTATAAAACTATTGTTGATGACATGGTTCATTAAATTATGTGCCAGCTAATAATAAAAAAAATCTCTTCCATGGGGAAATGGGCACTGTTCTTCTTTTCTTTTTGTCATGTTTTCTTTCTTTTTTAATTCGTTCTTTACCAATCTGTTTGCATATGCCTTCTTTGCAAAATTCTCCAAATCCTTCTTAGAAAGCACATATAATAAATTTAATATACAAATTTAACTTTTGTGATAATGGTAATAAAATGATCAAAGTTGACCCAAAAAAACTAAACTGATGAATTTTATAATCAGCATAATACTACCATTGATAGACCTTTTAGTCATTAAACAATTCTTCAATTCATAGGATTGTTACCTAAAAATTGATGAGATTAGTTAAATTACTGAGTTCAAAATTTTCAGTTCTATAGTTTGCCTCTATGATAATTTCATTTCTATTACCAATGCTTTTCTATCACCAATCCCAGTTTCTATGGAAACCAATGGAAGATTGAGATGAAAAGAAAGCAAAACCTATAAAATGTTTTTCTTTTAAAATAGGAACATTTTAATCACAAATACTATACATAAACAAAAAATCATAACAATACATTCTTTTGGGAAGATGTTCAAACACACACACACACACACACACACACACACACACACACACACAGAGCTTTATTAGAGGAATTTGGCCTCATTCATGCTAGTGAATTCTTACAAATATATTTGGTTTCACAAATGGAAATTATCAAGTTACTGGTAAAGATTCTTCTGGTAAACCCCAAGAAAGAAACAATTCTCATGGTTTAACCACTTGAGCAAGTGCAGCTCATAGTGGTTATAAATGAAGGTAATGGCTCTATTGATTTTCAATTGGAAAACGTTGTAGAAGCAAGGAAGAAGATAAGTGGGGAAATATCATTTAAAAACTGTTTTTAATACAAGCAACAATGGCTATTCAGCAATATATAAAGTCATTTTTTCCTTCGAGTTAAAGTTATACATTATTTACTTTTTTCTTTTGTGTATTTTCCAAACTTCTACACTTTGCATAAGTAACTTTTATACTTGAGTATATAACTATTATTTAAAGATAATTGAGGCTCGTAGCAATGTTACTCTTATCTTAATAGGCATTTTACTTTGGTCAGGCTTATTATCTGTTCTCAGGTAATATGATGGACTAAATAAATAAATGTGGCAACAATTGTGTTTAATTATATCGATACATTCATCAAAGTTCTCAGTATCCACCAAGAGTGCTCTTGTTTTCCTAGGTCGGCTCATGACCACATAGTAGTCCTCAGGTGACAAATATTAAAGACACAGTTTGTGCTGCCTACTAGGTGTACTGGTTAATAATGCGGATATTTTCAATATATGGAGTTATACATATGTTGACATATGTGCGATTTGATATGTATGCTATTTTGTTGTATTGCTCCTTCAGATTACTACTTGTTTCAATCGATGGCACATGCACTTTCTGAGCAGCACTTCAAAACGTACAAAGTGGAAAATTGCGTCTCTGAATGGTCTGCCTCAAAACAAGAAAAGTTCTATTGGGATGGTATCCACAAATTACCTGAAAGATGGAAGAAATGTGTAGCTAGAGATGGACATTACTTTGAATAAAGCACTTTTGATGTTTCTCTTGAAATTATTGTGTTTTTTCTTTGATTACAAAATCCGCATTATTACGGTTAATAATGCAGATTAATTATTAACCAGTTTATAATACAGATTATATGTGTAACTCCATATATATCTGTAACTCCATCAACATATGTGTAACTCCATCTATTGAAAAAATCTGCATTATTAACCAGTACACCTAGTAAATATTATCTTTTTACCACTGAGATGGACTTGACTCATTTTTCAAATAATTCCGTAGGACAGCACTGTCCAATAGAACTGTCTGCGAAGATGGAAAGGTTCTAGATGTGTGCTGTCCAATATCGTAGCCACCAGCCACAAGTGGCTCTGGAATACTGGAGATGTGGCAATGTGATTGAGAAACTGGAATTGTAAATAGGCTACCATATTGAACAACACTGCTGTAGTTGTTCCCTCACCTGGGCCAAGATCAGCGTCCCTGACTCAACAACATCCTTTGCTCAAGGACAGTGTTCGGACAAGCCAAAGTCCTGCCAAATTCCTAATGTTACTGAGATAATGCTTTTCCTAAAAAAGTATTACTAGATTTGTATGTCATGCTTATACTGGAGCCAAAGATTTTTTATAAATAATTTTTTTAAAAAATCTGAATATCTTTCCTTTGTCTCAGATAAAGGAAACACATTTTTTTTGCCTTGTCACTCTTAAAAAAATATGCTTTTATTGATTTTTAGAGAGAGAGGGGGGAGAAGATAGAGAAACATGGATCAGCTGCCTCTCGTGTGCATCCCCACAGGGGATCAAGTCCGCATGTTCCCTGACCAGAAATGGAACTGGCAACCTTTTGGTGCACAGGACCATGCTCGACTGACAAACTGAGCCACACCAGCCAGGGCAGCCTGTTCACTCTTTAAAAGTATGTCCAGACATCAGCATATAGAGTCTATGTGGTTGATTTAAACATTGGCCCCACATTTTCAAAAAAATAATTTGGAAATAACTAAAAAAACTCTTCTTAATTGGAGTAGTAAATAAATACTACTCCTTTTTTTCAAGTTTCAGACTGGGATTTTTACTTACTGTTTCTACAACCCCTTGGAAATTTTAAACTAAAATCTGTTTCCTTACCGAAACTTTTTTTCCTCCTTCACGCGCGCACTCTGCTTTGTTATTGTAGGGTGGTTCATGTGGGCTGGGCTGCTGGAATTGATTGTTTTCATGTAGAAAAAGTTGTTAAAGGATCTGTTTGTTCTTTAAGACACATATAAAGAATCACATGGAGTCAGCAAACATACCATAGAAGAAACAATTTCTAGGCCAAATTGTAGGGCCTGCCAATCTTGGCAGGGTTCCTTAAACAACGAGAGGACTTTGGGGCCCATAATGAGGCTCTATTCAGCAGGCCAGTGTAGTTAGGTCAGGAGAAGCGAGGAGAGGAAGAAAGATCTCAGGCAGGAGAGACTGTGTGGATCTAATCCTCATTCAGCCAGTAAGTACTTCATTTACAGGTAGAGAACAGACACCAGGACACACTAACACTGAACAGAAATGGATGTATATCTACTTAAAGAATGAAAATCTAGCTGCATTATACTTTACCCTGGGCCTAAGCCTTCCTGAGGGTCATCAATACACATAGCACACACAGCTGACAGCTCCAAATCTGGGCCTTTCCTGTACACTTGCTCGGGATGAGCAGAGATGATGCCCTCAGGCCCTGTGTAGGTGGAAATCTGAACTGTTTAGGAAAAAGTTGAAGTGCAGCTTGCATGGTTAGAGTTTGTCTCTGCGTTAGAATGCATTGTAACACACAGATGCCGGAAATCTCAGACACCGGGACAGACAGTTCTGCAAGGGACAGGTACATCTGGCCACATGGAGAGCAAGACAAGCCCACCTTCCTACATGAAACCTTGCCACGAAGCCTATGAATATTAGACTGCAAAAGCACTGTCACTAGAGATGGGCTTTACTGGATTTTTGAGGAACTGAAATAAGCTCAAATACATTAAGCCTATTGTGTAACCCTGTGTTGACAAGCCATTTATAAGCAGGCACCATCACCTATAGTTTATAGAACTACACCAGTAAAACCATAAATTTCCACTTCAGATGCCCAAAGACAATAATTTGGAAGCTAATTTAGCCATGTAAAAGTGGACTGGGTCCACAGATGAAAGGTCTTACCGTATTTTTCGGACCATAAGACGCACTTTTTTCCCCCCAGAAGTGGGGGGGAAAAGTCCCTGCGACTTATGGTCCAAATATAGCCTACACATATACTTTTTAAAAAAAGTTTTTTTACTTGCCCGGCTCTGTGTGGTCTCTGTGTGCTTGCCCGGCTCTAAAATGGTTCTAAATGCTGCTGTTTACTTTACAGGGTTGATTACATGTGTTTATGACTGTGATGTTGGGTTTTAATGCACATAAAATATTTTAGGACACTATTTGTTTCAGAATCTTTTTTTCTTCATTTCCCTTCTCTAAAAACGGGTGCGTCTTATGGTCCGGAGCGTCTTATGGTCCGAAAAATACGGTAATCAATCTGGCTTTGAAAGAAAATCAAGTTGAGGCCTCTAAGGACCAGAAGCAAACAGAAACTTGGATCCCTAAGGTCCTGGTATGATAAGGAGTTTTCAAATTCGGTGACCACAGTTAGTGGGGAAACTTGGGTAATGTTTCCTTCATAGGTTGTACAACTAGCAGCTTGTACAACCTATGAAGCTCCGCATCCTGTTTCAGAGAACATGTATTTATTTAGAATGTAGCCTTTTTTTTCAAGTGGGTCTGCATTATTTCCGGAGAAATCAAAATTAAGTAATTTCCCTTTCCTAATAATCATGACGACTTAGGGTATTTCCAGTGAAGAAACAAAGAGGGTACAGGCACTAATAAGTAACTTTATATGACTTGGAATGGTGGTGGTACAGGAGGACTCGGAATTCCACTACAAAGCTCTGAGCTGGAGTGGACAAGTTCACAGAATCACGGCCAGGCTCGTTAACGCAGCCTGACTCATAGTTGCCCATGCCATGCCAATGCCAGGCACCTGGGTGCATATTCCACCAGAGATTTAAACTGGTGGTCCCTGGGAGAGCGGAGAACACTGAGGTAGCCATGGGGCCTCACAGACAATGAGCGGGTGGGTGGTAGGGACTTTAGAAAAAGGAAAAAGGACAAGACTGAGGGTGGCAGAGGGAAAAAAGCAAGAAACAGCAATCCAGCCTGGGAGCAGGAGGGAGAGAAAGCAGAGAACAGCTAACAGAGCTTTGCAGGGGCCAGAATGGAGAGGAGGGGACAAGAGAACCCAGGGAGAGGACTCAGACAGCAGCAAAGAGAAGACACAGTAGCAGAGAGAGAGAGTACCTGAGAGAAAGTTAACGAGAGGGCTCTGAGCCAGAAGCAAGAGGTGAGGAGAAGCTGAGTCTTCTGGGTCTTTTTTTTCCCCTGCTGAATAGAGCCTTGATTATAGTGTTACCCAATGTCTGGTAAATTTCAGCCTATTCCCTTAACATTTCATGGCAAGAACTACATGAATGCAAAAGGCACCCCAAAGCTAAGAACCTTGAGTCAAATGTGGGCGAAAAACTCCTGCTATAGCTGCAATTAACATCCTAATGTAGGTATATTATAAAGGGTGATTTTTAAAAAAAATTATTTTTAACCACCAGGTTTATTTTTGTTCCCACTCCAGCCCAATGAGCCTAATGTGAGTCAATTCGCCCCTCCCCCCAGTAACAGCTGTTCTTTTGTACATTATGAATAGGCATCTGATTTAGATTTGAAAGAAATCATTTTAGAAGTGGGTGCAGACTCCCATAAGCACAACTCAGATAAATCCAAGCCAAGGCACCAGAGATTTCTTTAAAAATCAAGAAATCTGGTGACCAGCATGGAGTCAGAGTTTCTGTTAAATCTAAACCCAGTGGATGCATTTTCCTCCTTCAGGCTGTAAATTCAGGCATAAGCGGGGTTTTTTTCCCCCCCTACTTGTGAAATTAATATAGAAAATGTATCTGCAGCCGAACTACAAAAGGGGAAGTTTCTTTCAATTTTATTGGATCTCAGCTCCATTATGATTTTGTGGCCTCTGTTAGAGAAAAACATTCTCACATAATGAGCTTTTATATCATTAAGTTGGAAATGAGTAACAGTTGATGGTAGCAGCCCCTGCAGGAACTGTCTGGTTTGTGACCCACCATATTGATGACTAGTTTGCTGGCCTAATCTGGGGCAGGGTTTAAGGTGAATACAATAAATAAGTTAACTTGACTAAGTCTGCATGGCTGTCCCATGCAATTCCTATAGAATATTATAACAGTGAGAAGACATTTAAGCTACTTTTTTCCTATAGAAAAAAAAAGAAAAGAAAAGAAATGGGGCTTTAAGAAATTTAAACATAGCATATATTGAAGTGCAAACCTACTAAAAAATTATCATTTAAATACTTACAATTCCATCTCTATCAGGTGAACCTCTGTAACAAAAAGAAATTTGTAGCTATTAGGAAGAATTAATCATTCTTGTTACATAGACTATAACAAGAAACATTAACCACCTCTCCCCCCTCTCCCCAGTTCTCACCCCAGTAAATCCGTATAATGCAAACTATATCATAGCAAGTCAGTCCAGTGGTATTTGAGTGTGGGGAGTGTGTATGCCCATGTGGGAGCGAGATTCTCATTAAAAGCAGAAGTCCAAAAGACACCAAGTTGCGGCAGCAGTTTTGGTCCCCTTTGAAGAGGAGAGTTCATTAAGTGTCTGTCCCAGTCTGTGGCTCCATTTAACACTAGCACAGGGAATGTAAGCCAACTGGCTCTCTCTCATCTTCTCTCTGGGAATGGTCTTCAATTCTCCCTATAAGAAGAAACTACTATGGTATTGTTCAACCTATTTTGAGAATCTGTATTTTCTTCCATATTTCTCTATTTACTGCTCCAGTGATTATAGGAAAGCAGGAAAGGGAGGGCCATGTTTCCTCAGGGCTCACTCTGATAACTCAGGGGAGTTCACCATGGTGGCACTGTGTGTGCCACCGTGCTCAGGAGTAAGGGCTGTAGAATAGGATGACTCTGAGTGCCCAGACTCCACCACTTGTTAGTTCTGTAACTTCTGTAAGCTAGCTTAGATCAAATAATGTATACAAAGAATTTATAACAGTCCCTGATACATAGCAAGTATTCAAAACTGTGGGCTATATTTTTTTCCTCTTACATAATGCCTCTTTACTAGGAACACAAGACTGTCCACAGAAGCCACATTAGACTTTGTAGCGATAGAGGAAGTGCAAATGGTTGTGCAAAATCATATTGTTATTTTGAAAAACTAAACTCGAGAAGCCAGAGGAAGAAGCAAAAGGGTGGTCACTGCATCTCTTCCTCTTTTAATTCACTCTGCAAGGAACTGAATTATGCTTAGAGGGGGACCTGCATTATTTGGAAGAAAACCTTAGATACTTGAGGTGGACTGTGAAACCTTGAGGAGTGTGGTGTGGTTGGAACTGTTCTTTAGGAGGTGGGACAAGGTAATGAAATTATTTATTGCTTCGTAGGGTAGGGCAGAGAGAGAAATGCAAAGAGTTGGTGGGACATCTCCTGAGCTCCAAGATGAGACTCCCCTTCTCCACCAACACTTCCTTTTAAATAGCAGAATATTTTTACTTGGATTGCAAAACACTTGGTAGAGGTTCATCGTTTTTCATAACCAGTTCTGTGCCCATGTGGATATAAGGGCTAGAAGCAGAGAGGATGCTGATATTGTAAGACTATGGGAGTTGACAGAAATCTTAGGGTCCTTGGATATTCCTTGGCTATGGGAATTAGTTGGTTTAAAGAAATTTCTTCTAAATTAGAAGGACAGAAAGAGTCTTAGCTCATTAAACTCATAATTCATTGAACCAATAGTGAGTGCTTACAATCGGCCAGACACTAGGCTAGGATCTGGAGATAAAAACATGAAGCCATGCTCATCACAGGAAGAATGAGACAGGCAAGTAAACCCAATGAGATATCATGGCCATAATCAGCTCAGGCGCACAAGAAAGTACAGAGAAAAACTACCAACTTATACTCATCAAAACCAGGTTTTCTTTTTAGAACAATATAATGCAAAAAATAAAAATGAAAAGAGCATTTCTTAATATAATTTTAGCTTCTGCTAAAGGAATTGAGAAAGAGGTGATTGTATCAACTCTTCCACAGGATATATCCACAGGCACTGATCCTTGTGTGGATGTCTCTAGGGCAGGAAGTAATAGATATAAAGAAAACAATCTCTGGAGATAGATCTGTAGTGCTGCCCATGATTGGTATAGATACATGGCATCCTATAAAGCATCTTACAAGAGGCCACTTGACGATCTGCTTATTGCAGCTATGTACTTTATGGAGTAATTGTATATATGTATGCAGTAATTGTATACAGCAGCATTGGTGTCCTCTTCTGATCCTTTGGTCTTATCCAGTGATGGAAATGGGGCTGGTGCTTCTTAGGGAGGACACAGTAAGCATGGTGGTTAAGAGCACTGGCTGTAGAGCCAGACTGCTTGGGTTTAATCAATCTATATTTCCTGCGTAATCCTCGGGAAGTCACTTCATCCCTTTGTGTCTCAGTTTTCATCTACAAAATGGCCATGATAATAGCATATACATATACCCCACAGGATAATTAGAGGATTCCATAAGTTTATAGAAGTGAAGAGCCCAAAATAGTGTTCAAAACATAGTAAATACTCATTAAATGTCATCTAGAATACATTTACTATATAATATGTCCTCAGACGGGAGCAGAGAGATTAACAGCCTCAGACTCTTAAAGTTCTCAGTTTGCTTCCTAACCCTTCTTATGAAATTTAATAATTTAGTTTAAGTGATTTAAAAAAAATTTAATAGCAGACCCATTATATTTACTGAGTTCTACTTTAAAACTAATCATTTACCATAGACCAATTGCCTCTGGTTTAAAAAGTGCCAGTTACCACTGCCTTTTTTCTGTTATCCTTCTATTGATCTTGATTATAATTTTGCCCATCTATTCTTTTTTTTCTGGGTGATAAAAACCCAGGTGCTTGATTCTGGATAAGAATACTAGTTTCAAGTCTTATTTTCTGGGTAACCTGCAACTTAGTTCCTTTTGGCATTGACTTCTCATTACTAAAATTGAGATATGATTTCTAACCTTACTGAATTACTGTGAGGATTAAAAGGGATATCAATGCATACAATAGACCCTGCACAGGGCCAGCCACTTAGCACAGGCTCGTTCCTTTCCTCTCTCTACCAGGCACTGTAATGATGATTAAATCAGGAAGCTCTGGTCCTAACCCCACTCTATAACTAACGAGGTTCAATCAACTGAAGTTGGGGCTGGTGGTACACCCTGAGGGAACTGCAACAGTTGTGATGACAGCTGGCATCAACGAAGTTTCAATGATGGCAGATTAACATAAGCATTACCTATAGCTGAAGGGACAGCAAGTTCCCAAAGCATTTGGCCAACCTTATGAGCTGATTAGAGACAAGGGCTCATGAAGAGCAAAGGCTGACACTGAAGTGTTGGTCTTTTGACCAACACTGCCACTGGGACCAATTTATGGCTAATTTGCTATCACATAAGTATTATTTTAACTCCAGTGATAAGTTAAAGAGACATGCTTGGGATTCTATAAGCACAAGTCTCATCAAAGTATCTCAGATAGATATTGAGCAACTATCAAAGCCATGAGGAAAAATTCCTTACTTTCATACCTTTAGAAATGGTGATGAAGAGCAGAGCATGCAAATTAGTTCTGCCTGCTCTGGGAAGGCTATTTGATCTCTTTTCCCTTTTGAGGGAAATTTTTCCTTTTTAATTTTCTTCACAAACCCAGAGATTATGTGCAGTCAGTTGCAGACACTGTCTTCAAAGAAAAACGGATTTGATTTCTGCTAATTATGTTCTCCTGATACCTGTGTGTCTAATGATGCCCCATGGCACATTATAGATGACAAGAGATGTTGCTGACAGGCTGACTGGTACAGTGTCTGGCTCTTTTGGGAACTTAAGATTCCACCTATTGTAAACTGAGGCCAAGGAAAGAAAAAGCATATTCCTGAGGCTGTGGGAATGCTGGTAACACTGGAAGCAGAGCCCAGGTCTGTAGGCTCCAGTGACAGAACCATCATGTTTTGGAGGTTGTTTGGAAAAGGGCAGTTTCTTAAGAAACAAGAGTAATTATGTGGTCCTCAAAAAATATTCCTGGGGAGAGATCAACCAAAGGACTTGAATGCATGCATATAAGCATAACCAAAGGACACAGGCACCAGGGGGTGAGAACCAGGGGGTGAGGGCATGTGCTGGGGGGGGGGGGCGCTAAGGGGGGATAAGGACACATATATAAGGACACATATGTAATACCTTAATCAATAGAAAAACATATTTCTAATTCAATCATTTTGAACAGGGGTGAGGAATGTCTGGTGCTCGGACCGCGTAAGGCCCACAAAATCATTTAGTCTGGCCCTGCCAAGGCAACTGTAGGCAGGACTAAAAATTCAATAAACCTGGGAGCTTTTTTCATAGCAACATAAATTTATATTAAGTGAATTATACTAAGCAAATGATGTTTCGATATACATATCCACATGACCCCTGGCAGAGAAAAGTCTCCCTACCCCTAATATAGAACAAGACTAGAGTAAAGGTAATTTTTCCATGAAATAATTATTTACCAAAAGAAAAAGCATTAAGAAAATGTAAGAACGGGTGACTTCATATTTGCTATCTATATTAAAAAATAGCTTTTATTTCCCCCTAATCCTTTATACTCTCTGGCTTAAAAACATGCAAGGCTTCAAGGTTACCCACTGCTTACAAAAGGAAGCCCAGGCTCCATAGGCTGTCACTTCCTATCTGGTCTTGATGTCCTTTCTAGTCTTGCCTCCAGTGATCAAGTAGGTAGGCCAGGTAGGCCAACTGCCTTATTTGTCTTGTCCTGCATACCAACTGACTTTTCCACCTTGCTGCTTTGGCTGCTGTTCCTTTAGCATGAAATGCCTGTCTTCAACTTGAAGGTCAAACTCAAAGTTCCTCCCTCCATGAAGCTTCAGTGATCATCTGTCCAAACATGAGCTTTTCTGCCCTCAAATTCCCATGAATTCCATTTATTTGCTCACAAGGAACTTACCACATATTAATTTGTATTAGTAATAATGAGTAATGTTGCTGCCATTTACTGAGCATTTTACTAAGTACTAGGTCCCAAACTAGTCATTTCAAATGTTATTTCATTTTGTTATGTGAAAGCTATTTCAGTTTGTGTGCTAGATTTTTTTTTATCCCATTTATAATAATAAAAGGGTAATATGCTAATCAGACCGTACATCCTTCTGGGCGTCATTCAGACGTCCTTCCAGATGAAGCCGGGGCTGAAGGGAAGCAGCCCAGGTCCCGGGTGCCTGCCAGTGGCTGGAGGAGAGAAGCCCGAGACCCAGGTGCTAGAGGGAAGCCAGTGTCAGCAGCCAGGGTAAGGAAAGTCTATTATTACACAAATTTTCATGCATCGGGCCTCTAGTGAATTATAAAATCTTGGAGGACAAGGACACAGGCAATGCTCAGCAGCCTGTGATAAAATGTATGCACGATAAAAGTATAAAGGAAGAAAAGCTAAAGATGATAAATAAGTGTAACCTTCTCCATTTTTACCTGTGCCCAAATAACTATCGATTTTCACATTTTCTAACTTTCTTTCATGGATTCCAGACAAATGAAGGGTTTAATGGGCTCATTATTCTGATTTAAGCGGACCACACAAGGTCTTCAGTTTTACATGGCCACAACCAGCTGTAGGGTGTAATGGTGCAGTCCTTACATTGGGCTTCGCTGGAATGCCGAGTTCCCGGCCATCTTATATTCCATGCGTAAGTTATCTGCCTGGCTTTTAGAGACACCTGAGATTTTTGTGTCCCAGCTAAATACTCTGCAGGGCTATTTAAGATGGTCAAATAAATGCAACAGAATTGTTACATCATTGGACATATTCAAGATGGGTTTATTAGAGTCTGTGGGCAATTGATTATCTTGGTTGTGATCATTTAAACATGTAAAAGTATTCACAGGATTGTTTCTGGCACTGGTTTCTTATTTAAAGCCAAATAGCCTATCCTGTGAGTTCTGTTGGTTGATTTACAGTTTTGCTTGTACAAAATCTTGGCATCAAGCAAAAGCTTTGGAATGTTATCAGAAAAATGTTATCTGGCTAGGCCTAATCTACCTAAACAGGTGTTTTTGCTTCTTCATTTCACTCAGGGCAAACCTAGAGGTAGTAATAAATACTCTCAGTCCCCACAGAAGCAACAGTAATACTTCCTGCCTCCCATATTTCTGGGAAGCGTGGTTATCAAGTTGTAAAATAACATGTGATGAAAAATTGAACACATGATCTAAAGTCTTTATCTCTGTAGCATAAACCTAAGAACCATTTATATACCTAACTGTTACAATTTAATCAGAAACAGAATAGTGCACAATATCCAAGAAAACTCCATATCCTCTAAACGACAATGACAACAGCATCTCTTTGAGGAGGCAAACTTTTAAAGGACTTACGTAGAATCAGTGTCCTTTTCTTTCTTCCGTATTCCAAAGGCCTTTCTTGTACGTTTTTTCAATCCTGTGGGAAAACAACAAAGGGTCAAAGCAATCTATTTTTCATTTGAATGTTCCTGGCAACATTCATATAAACATTTTTTAAAGTTGCAACATATCTCTTAAATTCGAATGTTCAAACAGCAGGGAAAGTTTCATCAATTGGGTGGATATATATAAGTGTTTATGTGCATATAATTCACTATTTTACATATATATATATTTAAAATATACTTTGATTGATTTTAGAGAGGAAGGGAGAGGGAGAGAGAGATAGAAACATCAATGATGAGAGAGAGTCATTGATCAGCTGCCTCCTGCACACCGCACACTGGGGATGAAGCCCACAATCCAGCCCACAATCCAGGCCACAATCCAGGCATGTGTCCTGACAGGGAATCAGACTGTGACCTCCTGGTTCATAGGTTGACGGTCAACCACTGAGCTATGCCAGCAGGACCACTATTATATTTCCAATAGATGTCTTGCAAAGATTCAGCATTGCAAGTTCTTAATATCATAAGAAACATAAGAATGTAAAAGAATGAAAAGGAGAGATTAGGGCATGGTATTGCACAAGCTTTTCTTAGATTATTGTTATTCATACTCAAATTGGCCTTGCCAAGAAACCAAGATACAGATTTAGAAGAATAGCAATTTCCAGGTTAGCCATATTCTTGAGGCTTGGATAATTCCAAGACACAGAATATAAAAAAAACATGCCAGGAGAGCTACACTGGCCTGATACATCTTTATATCCCATATTCCCACCTCACCTTTTTCCATTTCTTCAATTCTGTGGCTAACTGGATTGTTAGCCATTCTTTGAATATACCCTAACATTTGTAGTCAGTATCTGTTTCTTCCTTATGTGGTCCTTACCTCTGGTTAAAATACCTTTCCTATTTTGTTGATATTTAGAATGTTAATTCATCCTTTACATCCTAGCCAAATGTCAGTCCCAATGGTGTAAGAAACTGACTATCCTGTGCTTCCCTCCAAATGTTGCTCTTATATCAACCTGTTTCACTTAATATTTCCTGTGTCTGTTTCCCTGCTAAGCTGTCAGTCTTTCTATGACAGAGGCCAAGGTCCCTACATTTGTATGTTCCTTATACCAAGTGCAGTCTTCCTGTCTCCATTCTTACCCTGCCAAGCTTTTCTTGAGATTCACATTTCCTATATGTTCCACAGTTACATGTGTGACTTGTGTTTCTTAGGTTAGTTTTATTCAAACATGCTAAATCCCTACATATTCAAAACCTTAGGTATTTTCCTGGTGGTTTGGAAAGTCTTCTTGACAAATTGGAGTGGAAAAGTCACTGACTTCAGAGTTTGTTTGGCACTACCAGGTGGAACAAAGGGAAAATCATGACAGAATCAGTGATTTGATGACACCTTCTTCCAAAACATGTGAGTCAGCCCAAATTTCTCACATTATCTGAGTCACTCATTATTTGGCTTTTAGGGTACTACTCAAGTCTAATCTCCAAAGAGCATCTGTTCAGTATAATTTTGCATTTTCATAGTCATTTCATATAAACCATTTAGGCCTTTAAAATGTCAATGTTTGTTTTAAAAAATATGTGCCACATAAATGTATTCTTCCTTTCTCTTCACAGGAGAAATTTTAGGAAAACAGTTATTGACATTTAAAAAGCTAGTCACCTACAACATTTAAGAACACTTTGGCTCCATTCATTTTTAATTTTGTTAAAAACTTTCTTCCTTCTCACCTCTGCTTTACCTACTTACAGAGACAAAATATCAATTACCATCATCATTTCCTCCTTTAATTTTCCTTGGGCTTCTGAGTCTCTTAATTGGTTCCTCCATGCTTCTAATTTAGCTTTGGATAAAAAATGAATATATTCATTTTATATATATAAACCAATCACTAGTGGTTTTTATAGGACCATAAAACAAATGTTATTATTATATTATGTTTTATTTTCTACAACTTTAACATGATTAAGAAATAACATGCTCTTCCAAATAGATCAGAAAATACATACAAATTCCAGTAATTCTTGTATTAAATTAGTAACAGAGCAGGCAATAGTAGTTTTCCACAGACTGTCCTGTTTTTTTGACCACCAATTTGGACAACAGCCAATATGAACTAGGTTATGAATGTCACGAGTTGTCCATTTTTCAGTGAAAAGTACACTGGATCAGTATTCAGAAGACACAGAGTCCATTCCTAGGATCATTTTTAATTGTGGAGTTGAATACAAGTTACATTCCTTTTAGATTTTGATCTCTCAAGCCTATAACAAATCAGCCAATAATATTAAACAATAAAAGAATTTGCACATATTCACAAAATGCTATGTAAATTTGTAGCTTTAGTTTCATTGAAAGTCACATTTCCCATATGTAGGATACAACTATATATAGAATGTATGCAGGGGTCCTCAAACTTTTTAAAGTGGGGGCCAGATCACGGTCCCTCAGAGAGCTGGAGGGCTGGACTATATGAACTACTAATTCCTACTGTAACACCTCGGCTGCGCTCACTGCCCAAAAAACCTGGTGGGCCGGATCAGACTCCTCTGCGGGCCGCATGTGGCCCGAGGGCCGTAGTTTGAAGACGCCTGATAGGAATGCATCAAAGATGTGACATTCCAGGAAATCAAAACAAATCCAACTGGTGAACTAACTAACTAACTAAATAAATAATCATTAAAAACTTTTCTCCCCTTAAAAAGTGGAAAAGATTTAGGAATTTTAGGAAAGTATGAAGAAAACTCTGAACAAAGTTATAAAATGTTAAAGTCATTCATATCTTAGCAGCTCTTTGAGGAGATTCAGGAAAAAACAATTGCACAGTGTTAAAAGTTAGTAGACCAGAGGGAAGGGGGATGGGCAAAGACGAGCAGGGGGGTAAGGGAGAAGGGATAGAGACAGCTGCAAAAGTATAAACAATAAAAAAAAAAAGTGAGTGGAGAGGTGTGGGTATGTTTTTTAGAGTTTATTTTAAAATTTCAAAAAAATTCCTTGAAAAAATGATGGTCAAGGACCTTACAGGGATAACAAAAATGCTAATTAGACTGGACAGCCAAATGACCTTCCAGATGTCCTTCCGGACATCCTTCTGGGCGACCTCTGGGACATCCTTCTGGACGAAGCTGGGGCTGCGAGGGCCGAGCCCCTTGCACAAATTCGTGCATCGGGCCACCAGCATATGATAATCTGATAAACTTAACAAAACACTAAGTCTAATGATTCTTCATTTATGACCCTAGAACTCCATGAACATTTAAAAGTAATTTTCTACAGTGTAGTTTTTTCTGGGCTGGGACATGAATTTTTTGGTCAACTATTCTTTACCAAAATGGGAGGAAAAAATAATGTTTTTGAGAAATGAAGTGAGTTTTCTCTTGCCAATATCAAAACAGCTCTAAAGGGGGGGGGGAAATGTTATTCTAATGATCAGGGACTAGAAGGGTTTTCTCTCTCCCAAGCTGTGGAACTGAGAACATCTTCCAGTGTGTATCCAGAACTGCCTTCTTAGATCAGCCACACAGGAAGTTTGGCCTCTAGATTCTCTCTACCCAATTTAGATTCTTTTAGCTTCCTTTGGGATTATGGGAGAAGCTAGTCAAGTCTGGAAACAACACCACAATTAAAAATAAACTAATTTTTAAGAGGTCAGGAACACTTATTTCAAAATAGGTAGTTCTGGATATGACATTATAATGGAATAAAAGCAACAAATGTAGCAACTGACAACAGAGATGCGACACATGCACAGTACAAAGAAATTCCATTATTGTAACACTGCTAGCTGCCCTTACTGAGGTCCTAACTATTGGCCAGGAACCAGTTGCTTTTCATATACTGTCCTATTTAATTCTCTTACAAACCCTATTAAAAAAATAGAAGGTGTTTTCATCTCAAGTGATGGCCCTAACAGTTTGACTAATTTGATCGTATCATCATCTCCAGGGAGGAAACTGAAGGCTCCTCTTATACCACTGCTCCCCCAAATGTTGAAGTTCTTTCAGACTTAGTCCTAGCTTCCTCTGTACCCTCTCCCTGAGACAAGTCTTTCCACTCACAAGGTTTCATTTGCCATCTGTATGTAGATGAATTGTGAATCTGTAGGTGAGCTTCTGAATATGCAGTATTTTTTCTTAGAGTCAGGCTTTTATAAAACGACATTAGATTTCTTCAAATGCCTCAAGGCTCCATTTACTATACATATAATTAAACCTATGAAGATATGCTCAATCATTTAGTTTAAAATTATTTTCTAAATATAATTCCCCTGGAAAGAAAATTATTCTCTGTCAACTGATGGGTGAATAAACAAATGTCCAATACCCACACCATGGAATACCATTCATTCATAAAAAGGCAATGAAGAATTGATACATGTGATGACATGAATGAACCTTGCACACATTATGCTAAGTGAAAGAAGCCAGATATAAAAAAAGTTATATCTAGTATGATTTTATTTATATAAAATATCCAAAGTGGGATGTTTCATTAATACAGAAAGCAGATTAGAGGTTGCCAGGGGCAGATAGAGGGGGACCCAGGGATTGATACAAAGTTCCAGAATGAGATTATGGTGATGGTTGCACAACATTGAGAATAGATTAAATACCAGTGAATCGCATAATTTAAAATGCCAAAATGGGAAATTTTATAGTATCTGTATTTTAACACACACACACACACACACACACAGAGAGAGAGAGAGAGAGAGAGAGAGAGAGAGAGAGAGAGAGAGAGAGAGAGAGAGAGAATGAGAATAGTTTAGGAGGAAAAGATGGAAGATGGAAGGGAGTAGGGAAGGAAAAGAAGAAATACTATCAGATGACACAACCTGGAAGGGAGCAGAATCCAGGCCTTCTTTGTAATCTAAACATATGGGATCAAGTCCCAATTTGTCCTTTTGCTGGTTGTCATTAGGAGCACAATGTATAGAGAATCCAAGAGGTACTGTGTTACTTTCTATATAAAATTTAGGTCCTCACAGGGTATGAGGTTTGGAGGAACAGCCTCAGTTTC